GGGGGAGGTGGAGGAGGAGAGAAGAAGAAGAAGAAGAAGAAGAAGAAGAAGACGGGCGGAAGAGGAGGAGGAGAGAAGAGGAAGGAGAAGAAGATGAGGGGGAGGCGGAGGAGAAAAGAAGAAGAAGACGAAGATGAAGAATTTTTTTTATTTTTATTTTTTTGCAGGCCTCACGGGCCCGACGCGCCATTTTCTGGGCGTGGTCGGACCCGGTAGGCCCTGGCAACGCACAAACAAGTCCATTCGGGGGCTGAAACCCCCCTACAGGTGAGTGTGCTGGGGGGGCCTGGCCCCCAACCGGGCCGCCCGCCCGGCCAGGCCGCCCGGGACCTCCCCCGGGCAGACGCCGGTCGGCCGGGCGGCCCGGATCCGTACTCAGATTTAAACTATTTTCAAGAAAATTTGGAAATATGGAAAGACAATTTTGAATTTTTTATATTTGCAAACAAAGGCATGACTGCACACTGCCAATTTGCAGAAAATCTGACTCGTATACAATTCTGCAAATTGGAAAATCTGACTTATGTTTGCAGATACCAGAAAATCGCACCAAGTTGGAAAATCTGACTTACATGTGCAAAGCAAACAAAGGCATGAGTGCTACATCCTATATCTGGTCAGTGGCTGGTCAGTGGCTGAGCTCCTGAAGTGGACTTTGGATTCTCCGAGAGCACAGATCATTGCATTGTACGACTGTCATCGGATGTGAAAACAGTTCAAAACACTGATGGGAAGTGTGAAAACAGTCCAAAACACTGATGGGAAGTGTGAAAACAGTTCAAAATACTGATGGGAAGTGTGAAAACAGTTCAAAACACAGATGGGAAGTGTGCCGAAAGTCATCTCAGTCACCCCTTGTATGCACAACTGCCTTTGGGGGCATGGCTCCCATATGCGGGAAATGGGACTTGAAGCATGGCTATCGGGATGTCGTGTAACTGCGATGGGATATTGGGATACCTTCATAACTGGGGGATCGTATGTGGATCCTGACATGGCGAAAACGGATGCTTGCTGAAACTCTCTCTGGTGTTACTGTATTACTCAATTTGAAGTGGAAGTGTGAAGATCTCTAACTTTGGGGTTTGGAGTCGATGACTTTTTCTTTTTCTGCTACTGATTGATCTTTTTTCTGCTACTGATTGATCATCGGGGTGTTCTGATGGACGTACCTTGTTGCAGGGATGTTGCTGCAGGTGCACTGCTGGTTGAGGAGGCAGGCGGAAAGGTGTTCGACCCGTAAGTTTTTTTCCTTCATATTTCATCTAGCAGACTGCCAGCGATGATCCGGGGGCAATGCATCTTTTGGTTGCATAAAGGGGAGGGTAGATGAGAAGGGGGGGAAGAACAGGAAGGGTGAACCGAGATGGTCTGCACGATAGCTACCCACTGACATGTCAGGCAAATGACACAGCGCATGCGAAGATCCATGAATGGGCGTGTCTGGCCGATGTGTCAGCTCTCCACGTTTTTGAAACACTGACCATGCACGTGTTCGGTGGCCACTTCCATTTTTTGGATTTTTCCAATTTCGTACTTTGCGCAATGCTTAACGAGGCCCAGTAGAAGAGGGCAATTCATAGATAGCATCCACAATCACGCAGTCCTGTGAGCGCCCAAGGATGCCCGTTGACATGTGTTACGGATCTGGCCGGGGCTCGATCCCTGGACCTCATGCCTGGTACCGGACATTTATTTTTCTCTGCTATGTCCTCGGTACCAGCACATTTTACATTTCTGTCCCTTGGACATTTTTCCGGTACCCCTCTGGTACGGACGAATTTCGTACATACCCCTGTCGCCAGCCTAGCCGTTAGGCTGTACTCCTCTTGTGCTGTACTCAGTTTTCAGACATTGAGTGTGAGTTCGACATTGAGACGCTGCTGGTAATCTTCTCTTAGCGTCCTCATGGTACCAGTCGAGTTCTGCGTCGGAGTCTGGTCATGTGTGTGAGTGTTTACTCTCTCTCACCCTTCCTCCTCCTGCTCGAACCCAGTGCTCGTCACAACATGTCCGCAATCCATGCGGAGTTGGAAATCCTCTGCACTCGAGAAGTGGGGTGCAATCAGACTTGTCTCAACTTCACTCGCAACATGCATACATGTAGATGCCGATGGCAACGCAGAATCAGCAACAAACATGCGATGGTGCACTACGCCCACACAGAAAACTCAGAAATATGGCCGTAGGCCAGGAACTCAGCTTAACTCGTCACATCTAGCAGCTATGGCCGCTGCACACTGGTCTGAGTTCCCACCCGAACACTGTATTCCAACATCAGACACTCTCACTTACACATGTACGCACTAGGATCTACCCTGAATGTCCACGCCCTACACGCTGTTGTGGGGGAAATCTAAAACACACACCACACACATGCAGCCTTTTTTCTTTTTTTTTTCCGCGCATAGGGAGGGTGGGTAAGAGGATACAGACAGAAGGAGAAAAAGAAGAGTCTCCCCTCTCACTCTCTCTCAGCAGAACCAGGTACTGGCCATCGAAAGATGTGATCTTGAGCTGTCCTCTGATGTCTGCAGGTGAAGAGGGCCCTGTGCCCAGGACAAGGTAAAGACGTGACCTCCAGTCTGGACAAACTGTGAAACGACACCTCCAGACCGGACAAAACTAGGAACAGACAAAGACTCTGCAAAAACCGCAGAAAACAAATAAACATCCCAAAACCCATACCCCAAATCGCCTACCTCAGCCGAATATGACGTGAACCTCGTGCCCCAGCCCTGGAAAACGTCCAGGGCCCAAAAATGGGACAATGTCGGGGCCAACAGGCCGCTCTGCGATCCGAGTATGCTACACCCTCTTAGCAGCCTCTTTCTGGAAGAGTGTCATATGATTCAACAAGTCACCTTGGATTCAGAAAGACTTACGCTAATTTGTTGCAGCGCTAATTTATTGCAGCGATTCTGGTGGCCAGGCATGAGGAGGATCCCCAGATGTATGTTGGGAGTTGCCACGTTTGTCAAAAGAACAACCCTAAAACACAGGCCCTTCGAGGCTGAATAAAGCCGCTTTCCATACGGGACACCCATAACGGGCAACTGGGTACATAGGTATGTCTCCCGGCCATTGTGGGCGCCTCGGGACATGGGGTAGCATAGGGTTCCCATGCCCCACGCCCCCCCCGGCCCCTCCTGCGGCGGTTTGGGCTGCGGGGGTATTTGGTCCTCTCTTTTCTTTTTCTGTACATGTACCTCTCTTGATCGCCGCTTACCGGTAATAGGTAACCGGAGTGGTGTCCCCCAGAATACAAGGGGCAGCTTTCTTGGGGGCGAGGGGGAAACAAAACCCCCAAAAAAGCCGCTTTTCCGTACCTGACCAGGTCAATCCCTGGCCAGAAAACTCAATGGGCAATGATAGACTCAGGAAAGAAGCACAGAGGAGTGGCAACGTTCGAGGTAGGTGATAGAGCCTGAGTTTGGTCGTCAGAGTCCACGCTTGAGCAGGACATATAGCGGAAGTGGACACCACAGTATTTCGGTGCCTGCACTGTTTTAGACATTGTTGGGAACGATCCTGATGGCCCTTCCTATATGATAGATGTCCCAACTCATCTCTGCACCTACCCTCCCACGCATCCAAACTCTTGCTTTTTTCACGTGGTGATCCATTTCCTTCCTGGAGGTTTAGGCTGCCCCCAATCATGACTGGAAGACAGGTCAACCTCGACTGTATTCTGGAGCATCAGGTAATGCCTGTGCAGAAGCCACCTGGCAAAGGAAGACCAGCCAAGCCGCAAATGGAGGTCACAGTGGCCTTCAAGGGTCATTAAGATTCTTAAGAAGATCGGCAGTTTGCCAGGGAAGAACGGATGAAGTCTGCAACCCACGTGGTTCTACACTATGAGAGGGCCTAAAACGGAAGCAACAGCAAGATTGAGGGTTCTGCAGAGGGATTTGAGGGATCAGTACATCCGTGCATTTTTGCGAGGCGGATTCTCACTGCATCAAGGTTTGCCGAAATGCCGGCGCAGCGTTTTTGTTTCATTTTTTCACTGGTGCCGCTAGCCGTTTCGGTTCAGTTGCCGCGAGCCTCCAATTTGTTCAGAGAGGTTCGGTCATGTTTCTGAATTTGGCTGGGGCCATATGCTGGTGGTTCAAACCTAGGAGGGTGGGAATCCTACGGTAGGCTTCACTCTTGGCAGGCCTCCACCAGGGCTGCCCACAGAAAATAGGTGTGGCCCTAAGTGAAGGCAGCAGCAGAAAGAAAATCCGCCAGCCGTGAGTGAAGGTTGGCGTAATACAGTTGGAAAGGCAGGCTGGGCTACAGGCTCCCCAGCTAGCCGGTAGGCCCTGCCGCTCAGTTAGCTGCAGAGGCTGTGGCCCTCGAACTCCGTCCGGAAGGTTCCCTATCTGAGAAGAGCCCAGTTCCAGCTGAGGTAGGTGCGGCGTCCAGAAAGTGACAAAAGGGAGGAGGCGGCATCGTTCCGACTCTGCTGGAGCAAACGGCGAGTCACACTGAGTGCTCATTGCCTCTGACTCGGCCAGCGGAAGCCATAGCACTGGTAGAAAGGGAGATGGCGCTCGGGCTGCAGTGGTCAGGGGAGAAGGACAACAGTGGGAACAGGCGGACCTGGTGATGGCCAGAGACCACACTCTCAGTGGTCAGAGCCTGCAGCATTGCTGTAGGCGAGAGGAGAGTGGACAGCATGCGTGCGCGAGAGAGAGAGAGAGAGGGTATGAATAGAAAGACAGTAAGGTAGTATAGGTGGTCACATCATATTAGAGCTGCTGCTACATCGTGGTTGTGTGGACGAGTGGAGGCAAGAAGTTAGGCTTTCTGTATCAAGCGACTTTGGTGTCAGTGTGTTCTCATTTGGTGCGCTCTCGACATGTAATTCTTCTTTTGACTTTGCTCTTATATGTTTGTCGAACTTTGTCCCGCTTCGAGTCTTTTTTTGCAGCTGGAAAATCTGAGTTCCCACTGGTTGGTTCTTTGCAGATGTGTGTGTGTTATGATGTTATCTCTGCGCACGGGCCATGCTAATCTTCTGTGTATTGTAACTTTGGTTCCAATTTTGACAGATGTCGCGGAGTTATTTCTTTCTTTCCCTCTTCCGTGAATACTATCTTGGTTGGAGACCTTGCAAGGCAGAACTGTTTCTTTTTTTTTGTATCTGCTTGGCAAACAGGTTTTGTGTTTGGGGGGTTGAGGTGTTTACTATCATCATTAATTTTTAGTACCCTTGACTCCAGTGCAGCCTGGTGGTCATGATCCATGCAACAGGTACCACCGACCACATGGAGCATTCAATGTGGATGCAGTGCCACTTGCCTGCCTGAGTTTCACTTGTCTCGCATGTCATGCCTAACCCTAATTTTGCATTCCCTTGCAGGTTCACACGGGATCCATCCAGGTCGCAGTATAGGGTTTGCGGTCGACCGTTTATGTCATTGCTACCGTCCCCAAGCGTTGTTGGCACCTCAGCCGGCGGTGGTCATGATCCAAGCACAACCTGAAAAAACGCAAGTGAGAAATGCGTTTTCGCTCACTTGATTGGTGGCACCAATGTCCAACACCGTGCCTAACACTTCCTGTCTTTGTTTCCTGTTTCCTTCCTTCAAAACTCCCTCCTGTTGCCGTGCAGGAATGGAGGACCGTTCGACCTGATGTCTAGGAGAGTCGCAGCAAGTAATGCATTACTCGAAGCAGAATTCAGCAACACCTTTGCGTCCAACTCATCAAGTTAGACCACCAGTACCTCCACGGTTTTTGGCCGTTAACACGGTGGCTGAATCGGTGCACCGCGCGGGTACTGGTGGTTTAAACGAGTGAATATCAAGAACAAGAAGGATAAAAAGATGATGAAGATTCACAGGACAAGGACAAAACGACGGCGAAGGTTCAAGGACACGCAGCCTCTAACAAGCCTAACGGAACGGAGGGCGTTAACGGAAGACACAAACTAACGGAGGAAGGCGCTAACGGAAGTGCAGAAGGGATCGGTGTTTGTGCAAAAGGGAGCGGGAATAAAAAGATAACAAAGATATTCAAGGACAAGGACAAAACGATGGCGAAGATTCAAGGACAATGATTGAAAACGATGACGACGACGGGGAGAATGTGAGGGAGCAGGAAGCCTGCATGAAAAGATGTGCTTCACCAGCTGGAAGACTCGTTGCTTAGCTAGATAAGATGCCGTCAGCAAAGCCCTCCTGACCAGACTGCTGAGCAAGTAAGCAAAACTAGAGAAGCCCTGAGGAGAGTGTTATAGTAGCAGCAAGAGTTCATGAGTGGGAGTGGGAAGAAAGGTTCAGGAAGGTATTCTTTGAAAGAGGCTGCTTGGAGGATAAGTCTTGGATCCGTCCTCCTCCTTTAGAGTCTACAGTATTGAGCTACAAGAGGCAACAGGGAAATCCGTGCAATATATTCAATAAATAAGAAGAGCGACCACTTATAATTATAATTGGTTGTTGCATGAAAACTCACAGTGTGTGGTTTGTCATGCTTGCAGCTGTGATCTTGCCCAACTGCTATTTTCGGCTTATGTTTCACCACAGCCCCCCTTCATTGTCTTCCATCAGAAGGTAGGGAGAGGGAGGTAATCCACTTACTGCACTTGATGCTTTTATTGGTTTGAACTTCAAGAAATTGAGAGTTTGAAGTTGTTGTTCGCTTCCAGCTCCGCTTGCGGAAAGAGTTCATCGGCTTCGAAAACACTTCAAGAAAGACATTTGCGGAAAGAATTCATCGGGTGGCTTCGAAAAGAGACATGATCAATGTGATTATTTCAGCAGCGGAGAGAGGCAGTTTGAGAACTAACCATTATCATCAAGTTCCATGGCTTGTTGAAATCTTACTTCCGGTGATTGACTGGAGGTCTAACTTGTCCGCCAGTTGATCCATGATTGTTGATTTTTTATGCGACACATGCTGTGTCATGCCATGACCAAATTTTGTTCTTATAAATTGTGTCCTACTGCAGGTTATCTTAAGTGTGACAATTTTCCTGGTATCTGCCAGGTTGATGAAAGTGTAATTGTCTAGGCTACCAGAGTGGCCCGTGCCCACTTGCCCGGCCGGGCCAAAAAATAATAATACAAATAAAAAATAAAAATTATTTTTTAAGTTTATTTATTATTTTAAATTTGGAAAAGAATTTCGATGTGACCCTGAGGCAAAAGTTGTTCAGTTTATTTTTCTGCATAACATTGTTTTTTTTCGGATTACTGTTTTATTGTTGTTTTTGAAACGGTATTCACCTGTCTGCAGTAGCCGATGCAGATCCCAGGGCTCGATCCCTAGTCATCACCTTACCTGTGTACAGTATTTGTGTCGACCCCGAGAGTTGAACCCGTGACCTGTGTATTTGTAACAGTTGGTAGACTG